CTATCCCTTAAGGACACTAAGAAGGGGCACTTTTCCCCCAAGGACTCGGGTTGAGCCTCCCGGGGAAAGCTGGATGTGTGGACACACGGGCACACGGACACACGGACACACGGATACACGGATACATGGACACATATGGACACATGGACACATGGACACATGGAGATATGGACACATGGACACATGGACACACAGACATATGGACACACAGACACATGGACACACAGACACATGGACACATGGACACATGGACACATGGACACACAGACACATGGACACATGGACACATGGACACATGGAGATATGGACACATGGACACATGGACACACGGACACATGGACACATGGACACACGGACACACGGATACATGGACACATGGACACATGGACACACGGACACATGGACACATGGACACACGGACACATGGAGATATGGACACATGGACACATGGATACACGGATACATGGACACACGGACACATGGACACAATGACACATGGAGATATGGACACATGGACACACGGATACACGGATATAGGGACACATGGACACATGGACACACTGACACATGGACACATGGACACACAGACACATGGACACACGGATACACGGATATAGGGACACATGGACACATGGACACACAGACACATGGACACACGGACATATGGACACATGGACATATGGACACACGGACACACGGACACACGGACACACGGACACACTGACACATGGACACATGGACACACAGACACATGGACACATGGACACATGGGCAGCCCCCCACCAGCTCGTCCCAGGGACCTGAGGGCTCTCCCGGGATGCAGCTCCACATCTCCAGGGAAACATTCCCCAGTGAAAACATTCTCCGGGTTAATTAAACCCATTTAACGCTAATCACGCCCGTGGATTAATTAGGAAAAGCACAGAGGGCGCGGGGAGAGCAGGTACAGGGATGCCTGGAGGGAGGAGATGAATTCCCTGGGCGGGCAGAAACATCCTGGCCTGGGCACGAGCGGCTCCGAAATTCCCTCCCTCTCCCTGGAGGATCCTCCCCTCTCCTTGGAGTGATCCCCCTCTCCCTGGAGGATCCTCCCCTCTCCTCTGGGTGATTCCTGTCTCCCCTGGCTGATCCCCCCCTCTCCTCTGGGTGATTCCCCCTCTCCCTGGAGGATCCTCCCCTCTCCTCTGGGTGATTCCCCCTCTCCCTGGATGATCCCCCCCTCTCCTCTGGGTGATTCCCCCTCTCCCTGGATGATCCTCCCCTCTCCTCTGGGTGATTTCTGTCTCCCTTGGGTGACACCCCCTCTCCCTGGCTGATCCCAGCTCTCCTCTGTGAGATCCTCCTCTCCCTGGATGATCCCCTTTCACTTCTGGGTGATTCCTGTCTCCCCTGGCTGATCCTCCCCTCTCCCCTGGCTGATCCTCCCCTCTCCTCTGGCTGATCCTCCCCTCTCCCCTGGTTGATCCCCTCACCCCGGGGTTGGATCCAGATCCAAGAAAGGCGGAATCTCCTCCTTCCCACCCCGTCCCGGCTCCCCTGAGCGGGCAGCGAGATCCTCCCGCCTCCAGCTCTGCCGCCCAGCGGGCTCAGGTGCCGGGGAGGTGAACTGGGAGCCTAAACAGGGCCCTTTCCCCCCCTGGCCGGGTGTCCGCGGGTGCCGCCGGGAACGCTCGGCTGCTGTGCCGCTCTCCGGCTGCGCTGCCGCCGTGTCTCTTCCCATCTCATCACGGGGTGTGCGGCGCTCCCTCCTCGCGGGGATGAGTCATCCTGTCCCCCCCCAAACATTCCCGGGCACAAAACCCCCCCCATCCCTGGGGGCCCCTCCCTTCGTCCCTCCCGTGGTGGGACACGGCGGGTTCCCATCGCATCCAGAGATCCCGGCACAGAGAGGAACCAGGAGCAGGCTCCTGATCTTGGAATTAAAATATGACCCAGTGAGGGGCTGGGAAGGATCCGTCCTGCTGTGCCAGCATCCAGTGCCAACCAACAAACAGCCGGGAGATGCTGCTGGTCGGGACCCTCCACCAAAACACCCGGTCAATTAACAAAGCCATTAAACCATGAGCGGCCCTAAATCCCGGGAGCTGCTCTGGGATAACACCGGGAGGGAAATCACAGGAAGTACCCAAAACACTCGGATTGCTGCAAAAGTTGGATTCATCCCTGTCTGAGCCGCTGGGTGGGTGAGCTGGGTGGGACGGGAGGGGCTGGTGGTGACTGTCCCTCTCCAGGCCACATCCAGGTGGGATCAGAGCCCTCCAGACCCCAGGGGTCTTGGCAAACTCGGTCTCCCAGCTCTTGGAATGCCTGGGGAAACCTGCCAGCCGGGAACAGCGAGGGACTGGGGTGGGAGGCACCCGAGTGTGCACAGAACCTGAACCCATCCCCGGGGGGCTGCACCCCACTGAGGGAGAGGGGAGGGAGCCGGGAATGATGATCCCTGGGGATGGCAGTGGCTGGGGAGGGACCGGCAGCCGGGGGGAGCCGGGAAGGTACAGCTGGGAACTTGCTGCAGGGAAGGAAATGGTGTGAAAAGCACAGAAAGGGATTTAAAAAGACAGAGCTGAAGGAGAAAAGAGGGTGCGGGGGGGAGGGGGGGGGGGGGGGGGCGGCGGCGGGCGGGGGGGGGGGGGGGGATTTTCTCACCGGGGGATGAAGGGAGGAATGAGGCACCAAACAGCGGGAAAGGAGGGGAATCCAGTCCCTGTGGAGAGGCTGTGCCCTCCCAGCCCCGGGCTGTGGCACTTGGTCCCCTGCCCGTGTCCCTTGTCCCCCCACGGCACGGGGACAAAGCTCTTCCCCCCTGGTGGCACAGCCAAGCCCACCTGTGCCCATGGAGCTGGCACTGGGACACTGGGAAGGGTGACCCCAGGAAGAGTGACCCAAGGAAGAGGAACCCCACACCGGCTGCCCGTGCCAGGGAGACAAAGCCCTTTCCCTGGCATGGCACAGCCGGGCCCACCTGGGTCACTCCCAGCTCCGTGGAGGCGACACTGGGGTGGCAGAAAGAGGGATCCTGGGAACAGGGACCTCGGGAAGAGGGATCCCAGTCTGGCTGCCCAGGCTGGGACACAAAGCTTTTCCCGTCATGGCGTGACCAAGCCCACCCTTGGTGTTCCTGGCTCTGTGGAGGTGACACTGGGACCTTGGGAAGAGGGACCCCAGGAAGAGGGACCCCAGGAAGAGGGACCTTTATGCAGTGTCCAGCTCATTTGGAAGCTTTGTTCCTGCCTTCCATAGCCTTTCCCAGCTCCATGGAGGTCACAATGGGATCCTGGGAGATGGACCTCAAGAACAGAGACCCTGAGAAGACGCTGCCCACGCCAGGGAGACAAAGCTCTTCCCGCAGTGTGGCACGGCCAAGCCCACCTGTGACCCTCCCTGCTCCACAGAGGTGACACTGGGAGCCTGGGAAGAGGGATCCTGGGAAGAGGGACCCCAGAAAGAGGGAGTCCAGGAAGAGGGACCCCTAACCAGCTCCCTGTGTCGGGCAGATGAAGCTCTTCCCTTGACGTGGCGCAGCCAAGCCCACCCGTGCCACTCCCAGCTCCATGGAGGTGACACTGGGAGCCTGGGAAGATGGATCCCAGGAAGCAGGGACACTCTGCTCCTAACCATGGCACAGCCACCAAAAAATCCTCCCACACCAAATCCTCTTCCTTTACCAAAACCCACCCGTTCTGCCACCAAAAAAACCCTCAAGAATTATTTTTGCTCCCCACAGCTCGGCTCCCCCTCGTACAACCAATGCCAAAACACCACAGAGCCAGTGCCAGAACACCTCATACAGCCAGTGCCAAAACACCACAGAGCCAGTGCCAGAACACCTCATACAGCCAGTGCCAAAACACCTCACACCC